AACCTTGATTTCCTGCGGCCTCCTCATCATCCACGTTTAGGAAGCCTAAAGTTTTATGAAAATTTACAATCAGTTGGAATGAGAACTAGTTTCTTCATTAAATTAGAAAACGGAAGTCCTAAGGTGTTTAAAAAAATAAAAATAAACAGAATAAGGTTCCACAATGTCCTAACTTCTGGCATCATCACACTTTGTATATCCGCTACCTCGAAATTAATTATAAAGCCTTAATACTCGTTGAGCAATAACTTGCAGTTTGAAAACGTCCTTGTATATCTCTGATGATGACGCAGTTATTATGTAACGCAGATTATCATTATCACAGTGACGTAATACGCTTATCATTCTCAAGAATGCCGAAATCAAGCTCGTTTCTTTAATCGATCTATTCGACACTCCCTGTAGTCTTGCTCACTGGTTTGTGTAATATTCTTACATCATTAAGTAAATAATTTAAATATACACAGCATCAATTTCAATGATCTTTAAAACTAGTAAAAGCAAACTGTATCTCTCGCATGATACATCTTCCTGGTTCCGCCATTACCGACACTCGAAAATTGACTGCGCACCGAATGACAATGTGCAATGCAATACTTACCAAGTACATGAAGTCTGTAATAAATGGAGACGAAAACTATGTCGTGTTTAAGTAGATAGTCCGGACCGTACAAGTCACTGCTTCCTGTGCCCATGGCAAACGCTCCTCCATGTATCCATACCATAACAGCCCTTTTGCCAGACAATGAATTAGTAGAAACATTCAAATAGAGACAATCTTCACTCCCAATTATTTCAGAAGTCGGTCTCATCGTATTGACTTGTATTGCTGCAGAACCTTCTTTCCTAGCATCCCTGATGCCTGACCATGCTTTTGGAGGTTGGGGTTCCTGTCAAATGATTCAACAATTAATAAATCCTAATCCTCTCCATTAAACCTTAGCGCTGTTATTTTTGGTCGACATAATATTACCTTGAACCTTAGTTGGCCCACTGGTGGCTCAGCGTAGGGAATACCATTGAAGGCCAAGTACTCTCCGCCTTCTACATTTTGTACAACGGTACCTTTCAAGGCTCCGTATCTCGTTCTCACAATCGGTGCGCTCATGGTCGCTGTAGCAGAGATACTGACTTGATAAAAAACGACACGACACAGTAAATTCTTTTGACTTACAGCTATCTGATATAGCCCACTTGTCCTAATCTTACAGATACGTATAAACATGACTTGCTTTTACATCAATAAAGTCTTTTATCTCAATAGTATAGCTAATATTGTCACATAAAGCTAATATTGTCACACAGCAGATAAGCTGTATTTTTGTGT